ACGTCATATTGGTTTGCCGTGGCCGTTGAGATTGCTATAAATTAGCATATAAGAAAATACTTTTAAGTGTATCGTTGAACTTGAAATTGCAGACATAAATGCATATACAGGGCTTTCCAAGAAGAGATGTTATTTTGATATTCAAAGAAATGTGGCCTTTTTTGAAATAAATTGTTAGATATACCGTTAATTTCAGGTGTACAACTTTGCTTCCGCCGTTTTTTTTTCCAAAATTAAAAGCTTTATTGCGAAAAAGTGCTTACGGATATATTATTCAAAGTATTGTCTTTCGCTAGCGACAACTTTCTCCCATATTTCCGGAAATATTCGCATCCCGGCTCGAAAAAAGGAGTCCTCTTTTGACGCTATCCATGAAGCAATCCATTTTTCCAATTCTTCGATAACAAAAACAGCGCCGTATCCTTTACGTAATTTTCTATCCCCAAATCGCAAAGTGGCTGCTGTATGCCCTCAATATCTTCACGAATTCCATCTTTGAGGTCTTAAATCGACGATGTCCAGTTGGCATGGAGCTTATATTTCACATGGCACCATAGGGAGAAGTCGCAAGATGTTAAATCACATGATTTCGGTGACCTCTTCGAGAAATAACACGATCCGGAAATATTTCCTTTAAAATACGCTGTTTTCGTTGCTTTCGTTGCTTCTGTGACACGTAGCGCCGTCTTGGTAAAAATTAACGTTGTTCAGGTCAATACCGTCCAATTTCGATCATAAAAATCTTTTTCTCTTTCTCACTCTCTCTCTCTCTCTCTCACTCTCACTGTCTCTCTCTCTATCTCGCTCTCACTCACTCTGTCTCTCTCTCTCTCTCTCTGTCTGTCTATCTCTCACTGACCCTCTCTCTCTCACTCTCTCTATCTCTCTCACTCTATCTCTCACTGGCCCTCTCTCTCTCTCTCACTCTATCTCTCTCTCTCTCTCCTCTCTTTCTTTCGTTGGCGCAACCCATGCACCGTAACTTTTGTTCCTGCTTCGTTTTCGAAAAAGTAATGGCCAATAAGAGAGGATGGAGAGGCCTTTCAACAATAAATCTTCGATTTTCCGAGCCCCAGCTACGCCAGTTTTGCTTATTGAGTCCTAGCCATCGACGTGGAAATGGGTCTCATGGGTCAAAATGATTTTTCGATGAAATTCCGAATCTTTTTCATGCATTTCAAGGACTCAAACAGTAATACACGACATTGTTGATGATCGACCGGCTTGAATTCTTCTGTTAGCTGAATTTTATAAGCCTTGAAACCCAAGTGTTTATGCAAAATACGTTTCTTAGAACGCTTGATTCAAAAGAAGAACGAGCAATGCATAAACCTGGGTTTTCTTACACACTTTGGGCTACAGCAGCAATATTCTCAGTTGGTCTTGAGCAAGGTGCACGTGTTTTATTCTTCACATCACAAACTTGTTCCAGCAGCTCCATTTTTTCCACCAATTTCTGTATTGCGGTCCGACAAGCTGCTTCACAGCGACTGAGAAATGGTTTAGCTAAACGAGCTGACTCTAAATATTATAAGGCATTGTCGTATCGTTTCATTTTTATTACTAACGTAGTTTTTACTTTTCGAATGTCAAAGAATTACAGCTTCTAAGGTGACATCTACTAGCATAGCAGGCTATTCAAAATAACGCCTCTTAGTGGAACACCCTTTACTGTATGTAAATATGTAAATAATTTTAATTTTTCTTTTGTCAATTTAATGAGCTGGAATTGCTGTACAAAGAGCTTATAAATCAAAAAATAAAAATAAAAATAACCCATGCTGTAACTATGCATACGAGGTGTGTTCAAAAAGTATCGCGAATTTTGAATTTTCGCGGGTTACGTATAATCGAACTACGATTTTTTTGTGGCGTTATATTGGTACTCATCTCTGTCACTTATGCCTACAAGCTCGGTCATTTTGAATGTTCATTTAAATGTTGACAGCCGCTTTGCTTGCACGTGTTTTGGATGGTCTTCGGTTTTTACCTATTCCAAAAAAATGGATCAAAGAACCTGTAACCAAATGTTGACTGTGGCATACGGAGAAGCTACCTTGGACCGAAGCAACGTTTATCGGTGGTACAAAATGTTCTCAGAAGGCCGAGAAGATGTGAACGACGAAGAGCGTGCCGGACGCCCGAGCACTTCAACAACGGACGAAAAAATTAATTGCAGGGCGTGGTGCATCATGACTTCTTGCCACAGGGTAGAATGGTCAATAAGGAATATTACCTGCAAGTTATGCGCTATTTGTGCGAAGCAATCCGCCTGAAACGCGATATTTTTTGAACATACCTCGTAATTCGTAGATTCTTGTATTTTTCTAAAAAAAAAATACACGAATATTTAATAATAATAATTTATTTCATATACATATTTTAATTCAAAATGCATTGGATTAAACAAATTGATTTGCATACAATTCCTAAATTTAAAAAAAAACGCACTTTTGAATTTGAGATACACTCTTATGAACTGTTATTCAACTTCAGATAATCTATTGTGGGTAAAAATTAATTCGGTCTGTTTTTATAAAATAGCTCCACCTGCGATTGCATTCCATTGGGAAGGTTTCACATTGCAACATTGATTTATGCCTTTTCGAAAATGGCCAGATTTGTGTTGAGTAAACAGCATTTGAGGGAGGTTTTGATTTTCTAAATGGTTTTCGAATAATTGTTTGGCATTTGACATATAAAAGCTCTGCCATTAATAAAAATGAAACGATACAGGCTTCAACAACGCACTGAAATTGTTAAAATTCACTATAAAAATTTCATCGAAAAATCATTTACACTGATGAGTGCCATTTCAACCTAGATGGCTACGCCAAACAGCTAGATTGCCGCATTTTAGGCGTCTCTAACTGTATGGTACGGTTTCGAAAATAAATCAAGAGATGCTTTGTCATTTTATATGGCCGAAATCGGATGGTATTGGGCATCTTTACAATACAAGCAACGAAACCACCGATATTTTAGGTTATAAGTTTCTTTGAATATGAAAATGACACCTCTTATTGGAAGCCATTGTATTTTAATTGGAAGAAAAGTGCTGCTGAAGTCCAACGAATATTTGTGAAAATTTATGGTGAACCTACGCCAACCGATTAGACATACATAAAGTGGTATTGATGTTTTAAAAGCGGCGATTTTAGCGACGAATACTGCTACAACCAGGCTAAGCAATTGATGCAAAACGACTCAGCAGTGCATTGCGTGAAAAACGGCCGGGAACGACCGAAAAGCATGACCCCTGCGGCAAGGCAGCATATTTTTTTGGTTACTACAATAGCAACAACAACAGTAATATGATTGTAAAAATCAAAAACTACTTAGAATCGCCAAAATGGAAGGTCTTGCCCCACCTGCCGTATTCTCCAGATCTTGCACCTCCCGACTACTGACTTTTTTAATAGAAGCAAAACGATTTGGGTGGTCAACGGTTTGGGGGATCTAGAACAGAGAGATCGCATTGTTTTACAGACGAAAATTAACAGAGTGGTAGGAAAAAGTAGTCGCTTCGGGCCGACAATACTTTAAATAATGTTTTTTTTTTGCTTTTTTTCCAATAAAAAACAATTTTTTAAACCAAATAACGGACAAACTTAATTTGCGCACCCAATGCACTCTACGTCGAATCGACCCAAATTTTATAACCGACCACTTTCAATTCGGATATAACGACGTTTACTAAGGAAAAAAATAAAATGAAAAAAAAAATATTCGCAAAACTCTTGTAACGATATCAGTAAAGCGGTGAGCGTTGTCAGAATTTTGCGTCAGAAGAGCTCTCGTGCGCACATGAACCTTCGCTTAAAATACTAAATTTTTTACATTTAAACGATCATTTGGTACTGCGTCGAAATCTGGGGGTTAAAGGATCCCATCACCAATTTGTTCAGCCATAAGGCTTTGTTCAAAACTTCGGAATTGGAAAAAATAATTAAATTTAAAAAAAAATAATTTACTTTCAATAAGAAAAGATCGATTCTAACAATTAATTATAAATATAACGAAGAAATAGTTGGTTTTTAAAGAAGGTAAATACATTTTTTTAAATTTTATAACGAACTTTATGGGGACCCTTCCCTAATATTGGGCAAAAATCAGGCAAAGTTTGTATTTCTTTTGTGGAAGAATGCAAAGGCGTACGAACCTTTACTTTTAAATTTGTTTACAATTTGAAGCCTACAGCCTCTTGTAGTTTTTGCTGGTTTTTCTATCAAAGAAACCGCATAGATAGATCATTCCCGGGGCTTGAAGTTAGATCCGTACACATGGTTTCAAGAAAAACGCATACAAAGTTTTTTGAAAGTTTGCCTTGCGTGCTTGAGATAGGTGCGTTCGAGATATTGGAAAACCCCTTTAAACACATACTCTACAAAAATATCGGTTTAATTTTGAGAGTAAAAAAAATCGATTTTTTTAACTAAAATCAGGGGAGGCAACATCATTATTCTACGCTCATGGAAATTCTGACCTTTATCAGCAAAAAAAATGAAGGCTCGTCATTTTCGAAATCTTAACATTTAATTAGTTCTGAAAAGATCAAAAAAATAGTAGTCGGACGGTGCAAGATCGGCGCTATGTGGTGGATGCATCAACAGTTCCCAGTCAAACTTTCTCAGTTTTTGGCGAGTGACCGAAGATGTGTGCTGTCTAGCCTGGTGGAATATGATGCCTTTAAGATTGACCAAATCTAGCCGCTTCTCGTTCACTCGGTTCCTTGGAAGCAGCTCAATATATATCACACCCTCCCAATTCCACCAACCTGACAGCATAATCTTCTTTTGGTGAAAATTATCAACGCCGTTTGTATGTAAAATCGCCGGTTTCTTTTGGGACAACCCAATAGTTCAATCAAAAACTCAGTGGGAGTAATCTCATTGATTTCCACGCGTAAAAAAACAAATTTTAATTGTGATTATTTTAGATTATTTTATTGAGTTAAAGTTTTCACGGTATTTAAATATAAGTTGTTTTTTTAGATATTTATTTGATTTAGTTTGAAAATCATCATGCTCACAATCGTCTTTGCTGTCTTATTACTCTGTACGACAAATACTTCAACAGGTAAGTGCATAAGTATATATTGTATTGTATATACAACCTAGCAGTGTATATAATTTATAGCCTTTATGTATTAATATCTCTATAAACTTCATAGACTCTTAGCTTTAAGTCAATCATTTTTAGTGTATCCTCTTCGTCGTGTGGTGCGCTTGGATGCCCGACATACCCTACCAAGTGGAGAGCGCTATTAGAAAAATTAATTAACAATATTCTAGATACCGGTCTGACAAGAACTCGCACTATTTTTAGAGTTCAACTTATTTGGAAAATACATATGTACATATAAACTAGCGTCGCTCTTTCGAGTACTGGTCTATATTTCCTCTTCAAGCGATTTCTATCTTAGCTCTTCCTTGAACGTGTATATATATGTTTTGATAAAAATAATTGGCGCCAATGCGATTATCGGCCGAACTCCTCCTCCAATTTATGGTATGCGTCTTGATGTTTTTCTAACAAATGGAGATACCTACAGTTTATCCTAAGTTACCTCCGAACAGCTGATGTTTTCTGTTTATGAGAAGTCTTTATTTCATGTCATAAGTACACTCGGAGGGGTTGACATTCCGACATGCCAAGCTTTTTATTTAAATTAGTTTTCTATAACTTTTGGATGTTTGATCACGCGTGAGTCGGGTCAAGCTGTCATGTTATTTTTGTTCAGTATTATTTTGCGTTTCATCATAGAAAGACTTATGCCTAAACAATGTTTACAAATCCTTCATAATTTTTAAGTTTTGTAAAGAATATATTTCGTGCGCTTCCCTAATCGGACTACTGAGCATACTATTCCCAAATCCATTACCCTTCTTGAGACTCTGCATCGACCGTATAGACCACGTCCAGCACGCAGGGAAGAAAATATAGCGGCCTTAGCTGAGAGTGTACACGAAGACCGTGGAGAGTCGTTTCGGTGCCATTCGCAGCAATTGAAAGCGTACAAAATACCCGCTCGCTTGTGCAAGAACTGAAACCGCTTGACCATCTCAAGCGACATCGCTTCACTCTATGAGCTCTTAAAAAGTTTCAACCACGCTTTCGATGCAGATTTTATTCAGCCATGAGACCGATTTCTGGCTCATTTAGAAAATAAATAAGCAAAAATTGCTTCATTTGGAACGAAGAGCAACACGGAGGGATTCAAAACTTGTCATTTCATCCAGAAAAAAACAACGGTTAGATATGGTTTGTGGACCGGTGGAATCATTGTTTTAACATGCCGGCGCCACTTCTCACATATCGGATCAATCAACGGATTTACTGAGAGAACACTTCGTTGAGCAGATAATTTCACGTTTTTGGCCGTTCGATATCACACCGTTAGACTTTCTTCTGTGGGAATATGTAAAGTCTATGCGAACAATCCCACTTCGATTCAGGCCTTGGAGCAAAACATCACGCATGTCATTCACCAGTTGTCAGTCGAAATGCTCGAACGGGTTATCGAAAATTGGACTAAACGGAGGGCCAAAGAATGTTATTTCGAATTATAGCAAACATTTCCCATTAAAGTTGAATTTTTTGTGTTTTTTTTTTTTTTAAATCAGAGAACCTTGAAATGAATCCCCCTTTAGAAGTTACAACCAGATTTCATATTTAAAAGCCGGTGCAGTGAGCTACAGCATTAGCTGGAATTTGTGATCGCCATGTTTAATTTAACTGGAACAAAACCTCGCTTGTGGTTTGCAAGAATGTCTGCAGTGAATGAGACAGCTTAGCAGTACTATTAGTATTTGAAGATGGTATGATCAAAGCCAGAATTTTTTTTTTCAAATCAAAGATGCTTAAGTAAGGCTTGCCTTCTAAGAGAGTCCTCATATGGACAATGCTACGACCATGGTTTTCCCAGTTGCTCTACACTGCACCACATCCGATCAAAGAATAATTTCGACCGCACCGGCAGCTATTGGATTTTGGTCGCCTTTCATGATGCCTTGCGTTTAACTATTAGTTTGGTTTCGCTGCTTGTTAACATTGTTGCGGAGGATAGAATATTTACTCTGAAAAGAACGTACTGGGATATGATACCATGAAGGAAGCACATATTGTATTTAAAAATCCAGATCCCGCATTTTTGGGGAAGACAGCAGCGAAGATCTACTTCTGTGCCGTATAAAGACGATCGAAAACGAAATCCATAATTCAGAACCCCGGCATTCGGCGCAGACCGCAGGGAACTTTTAGTTCTAGGCTATCCAGGCAGCAAAAGTGCTTGTGAATTATTGAGCGAAATTTCTACTGTTTCTTATCCCACCTACCATATTGCATATTCATACAATCGTATTTAAATATCCAAACTACTCAATTTCAATTTATTTCCTACTAAAAATTAAAATTTCTTCATACAGATTTTGTTAATTTTTTAAACAAATATTGTCACTCCTTAGGCTTTGAGACTGTCTTACTGGTGAAGCAAAATTTTCTCTTATGAAAACATTGATTTTACTAGTACAATGTTTGAGTTATAAAATACAATACAAATTTACAATATACTCGGGTGATGCGGTCTGTGAAAGTAAACGATTTTAATTGACTTCGAACATCGTCAAACAGTGAGGCAAAATTTAAATATACCTAAAGAGAAATTAAATACAGTTAAATTAAATATAAGACTCAATAAATGAAATTAAAAAAATTCAAATTAAATAAAACATTAAATAAATTAAGGAAAAAAATTAAATTAAGTATATTATAGTAATATAAAATAATATGACAAAAGACAAAATTAAAATATGTCAAATCGATTGTAAATAAATGAAAAAAAATAATAAAAGTTATCAAATAAATTAATTAAAATAAAATAAATTAAAATGAAATGACATAAATGGAAATAAAAATAAATAATTATAATAAAAATAAATAAATAATTAAATTAAAAATGTAGCAAAAAAAAGTGCAACGAATTATCGATGTACAACTTTGCTTCCGCCGTTTTTTTTTCCAAAATTAAAAGCTTTATTGCGAAAAAGTGCTTACAGATATATTATTCAAAGTATTGTCCTTCGCTAGCGACAACTTTCTCCCATCTTTTAACGCTATCCATGAAGCAATCCATTTTTCCAATTCTTCGAAGGATTGAAAATGTTGATCTGCCAGGCCGTGTGCCATCGAATGGAATAGGTGGAAGTCAGAAGGGGCGACATCTAGGGATACGGCGGGTGGGGCAAGACTTCCCATTTCAGCGTTTCCAGGTACTCTTTGACCACTTTTGCGACGTGAGGCCGAGCATTGTCGAGTTGAAGGGTGACTTTGTCATGTCACTCTTAATATTGTGGCCGCTTTTCTTTTTGCGCACGACTAAGGCGCATCAGTTGCATTCGGTAGCGATCTCCTGTGATGGTTTCACCCGGTTTTAAGAGCTCGTAGTAAATCACACCGAGCTGATCCCACCAAATACAAATCATAACCTTGGCGCCGTGAATATTCATATATATATTCATATATCAATCAGAGCATTCGAAAGCATTCTGAGAGCATTCAATGCGCTTCAGCTGCATTTTTTTTTCGAATTGTAACAGAAAAGTAAAACTTCCCGCAAATGGCGGGAATTAGGCACATAAACGGACATTTTCGAGCGTGAATAATACGAAAACAAGAACAACTGTCACTGAAACGGCGATGACAATTCGTTAGGCACTGTCCACACTCACTTTAAAGGCATTATCATCTATGTATTTCAACCAGCCGCAGCCGGTAAAGCCACCTATCGGAAAACGGCGGAAGCAAAGTTGTACACCTGATAAAATAAAAGAAATTAAACAAAATGATATAAAAATAAACAAAATTAAATTAACTCATATAAAAATAAAATAATAATAAATAAATGGATTCAAATAAATATAAAAAAATCAAATAATATAAAACTTAATGAAATAAATGAAATCTAAAGAAATTAAATGAAATTAAAGTTAAAAAAATAAATTAAATAAATTGAAACGAAAACAAATAGAACTAAATAATTATAAATAATAATTAAAAAAATTTAAATAATAAAGCAAATAAGTGTAATAAAATAAATTGAAATAAAATAATATAATTTAATATTAAATAAGGAGAAAAAAATTAAATTAGGCTGAATTAAACAAATAAATGTAAATATAAATGAAGTAAATAAAAGATAATTAAAATAAATTCATATTTAAAAGATATCAAAAAAAATTTAATAAAATTAAAAATTAAAATAAATTAAAAGAAAAACAAAAAAAGGCATAATGTAAATAAAAAAAATCTCAATAAAATAAAACAAAGCAAAAATAAATAACGAAATTAAATAAAATGTAATAAAATAATAGAAAGAATAAATAAAATTAAATTTAAAAAATGAATTACAATGAAACTAAGTCAAAAAATAAAAAATAAACTAAAACAAAAATTAAACATAATAAAATATAATGAAATAAAAATGAAATAACACAAATGAAAAGGAAAAAATTTAAATAAATGAAAACAAAAATTAAATAAAATAAAATATAATGAAATAAAAATGAAATAACACAAATGAAAAGGAAAAAATTTAAATAAATGAAAACAAAAATTAAATAAAATAAAATATAATGAAATAACACAGATGAAATGGAATGATATGATGCAAAAGGATGTAAAATTAAATTATTTTTTAAAAATCATAAAATATAAATATTAAATCATGTAAATTATTATAAAAATAAAATAAAGTAATGTGAATAAAAATAAAATAACATAAAAAAAAAATCAAAGAAAAATGATTTATGATAAAATAAAATAGATTAGCAGAAATTAAAGAAAATTGTTTTAAAATTAAATAAAAAGCCATATATAAATATATGTATGTATGTGTAAAGTTATGGCGCCTGATATTGTTCATTTAATGCAAGAATGGTTTTATATGCACACACATATGTACATATATGATAGCTGTCAGTATATAAGAAGACAGGGAACACAGTATTTATAGCACTTAAAGCTCATACGGTATCTTGTTTTCAGTAAATTTATTTAAATATTCATATCATATAATATATATATTGTATATATGACGATATATATATGACGATACACTAGACTAGAAGCAAATTTTGACTGACTTTTGTGTCAATAATGTATTATGTCAAGTAAGAAGTCATCCATTATTTCTAAAATAGATGGCTTTAGTGATCTGCATTCTATAAATGTGACTGAGTTAGGCTAGATGAAGCTAGAAAGCTGATATTTTGTACTAAAAAGGATAATGAGAGAAATTTTGTTCCCTTAACTCAGTTGTGCAATATTTGAATGCTTGTCAAAGATGGAGACCAGTAAAGAGTATATATGTCTAGAATTCTTCTTCGATAAGGGCGAAAACGCAAGTCAGGCAGTCAGACAGCTGAAAATGTAACAGTCAATCAATCACAATTTTCGGTTTCGTCGATTTCGTTTCGATAATTTTGATATAAAAGATGCTCCACTGAGTGGAAGGCGATTGGAAAAAACAGGTCGGATGGTGACTGGCGATGAAAAATCGGTCACTTAGAGTAATTTCAAATGAAACAAATATAAATCTTGGTCGCTTAGCAGTTAGTGAACACAATTAGCTGATGCGGTTGAAGAAACTATTGACCTAACCCTTTAAGTCAGGTTTGACGGTTGGGAAGCTTTTGTTATGTCTTTAGTTGGTCACATCGATAGTGACTACGGCCTTGGTCGATTTTTTATGTCTTTGGTTGGTTACATCGATAGTGACTACGGCCTTGGTCGAATAGCAATTAGCCGACACAATAATGCGGTTGAAGAAACTATTGACCTAACCCTTTAAGTCAGGTTTGACGGTCGGGAAGATTTTGTTATGCCTTTGGTAAGTCACATCGATAGTGACTCGCCAAAAGCGTGAGGTTCTTGGGCATCCACATTACAGTCTGGGCTTCGCAACCAGTGATTACCATCTGTTCTCAACTATGACGAATGATTAGGCTGGTGAAGAAGTGGTCTCAAGAGAAGCATATGATAATTTATTGTACCGTTTTTTATTTTTTTTTGCCAACAGGGAGAAGAATTTCTACGAGAAAGGCTTAATTATATTACCTTTAAAATGGCAAAATTTTATAAAGCAAAAAGGCGCTTATTTGACATAATGCATAAATAATGGATAACTTCTTACTTGGCCTATTATATAGAATATATACTACTTATAACAGCAACATAGGTCCTCGCATTTTATACACCCGTATATGTACGTCACAACTATTTATAATAAATTGCAAATAAATCCAACAACCAACATAACATTTCTTTGCTCATTTATGTATGTGTGAATGAATATCTATTGTATATATGATGACAACAGAACCCACCGAGGTATTGTTCCTCATCTCCAGTCAGGACACCATGTACCATCGTCCATTAGCTGCACGTCTACGCGATGACATTATTAACCAAGCCGAAAGCCAATTGGCCACCAACAACAGCAACAATATCAGTAGCAGCAGCAGCAGCAACACTAACTACATCATCACAGTACATATATTACATGAAATATTCAATTTTCCAAGCTATTGGGCGATAAAGAATGCAATTCCCTTCGTGTGCGCCAAACTGCTTGGAGAATACACGAAATGGATAGTTTGGTTGGAGGAGAGTACACATGTCTCACTGCAAGCGCTGTTGGAGCAGTTAACACTAGAGGATTCGACACAGGTATGTAAAGAAGATTAAGGGAAATGAAATATTTTCAAAATTATTATATGATAGAGCAGTAAGTTACACACATATAGGAGTATGTATACACGTATGTATGTACTTAGTAAACCGATACTACACCTCTTCAAGGCTTCAAGTTCAAAATGAGAATCTGTAAAGTGATAATAAGAAATTGTTAGTTTATATTAAGAAAGTGTTAACTGAAATTATAATAAATGGATGCATAATTGGTCTTACATAAGCGTTGAAGCGATCTTCGGAAGAGGTTCGAACCTATGGCGCTCCTCATAGCAGCACACACAATATCAACAACATTGTTAGCGCGGTGATATGAAGTGGGATCCAGGTACGAGGCTATTTCCAGAGAGAGAGAGGTGTATGCTAGTGAAGCTTCATTGGATGCAGGACATAGTTTGGAGTCTACAACATCCAAACTTTAATTATGCGAAGATTATGTTGTGCTCTTCCGCTCTTACTTTGGTATAACTTGAGGGAATTGAGGAATATGTTAATTTATTATCTGGTTATGACATTTAGAGCCCGCCTATAAATTGCTACGTTCAATGCTTCTGTAAGATATTCCTCTTTGGGGCTCGGATATTAAAGTACAAACCTCTCTGAAAAGCCTGAAAGTCGGTTTTGTTTCAAGAAGATTTCCGCTTGCAGAGCAAGTCATTATTATTCTTCATCTGCATCGCACTAATCTCTCGCATCCGGATGGTTTGTAGCCTGCGACGTATTTTTGTCTCTCGTGCTGTTGGCTAGGAAGATTTTGCTTTATTTGAAGATTATATGATTTGTTGTTGTAGTAAACGTTAGAAAATATTGCGGACTTCTGAGTGTCATCCGAATAGTGATATCATCGGCTTTGGCATTCAAGTTTAACTATACTTCGTACAGCTGATAAAGAGTGTCGCCATGGGAATGTTAGAATAGAGTACCAGGTTTTAAGCAATAAAGAAATGGCATAGGTAGGATACCCTTCCTATTATAAATCCAAAGTATCCTGGACAAAAACGAACTGTCATCAAGATTTGGTCATTGGATAGAAAGTTAGGCTTACATAATATGTGGTTCAGATCTTGTTCGCTTCTATTAATCCAAAATTAGTATTGACTTATAATCAAAATTACATACACTTCATCGGAATAGAGTTAAAAAATGAGGAATAAAAAATTTCGATTTTTTGGTTTTACCAGAAATAAAGTGATCTTTGATATGTATCTTAAACACGAAGGTCAATAGATTGAGAACTAGTTTTAGTATACTTTTGACCGATGACCTGTAGCCCGACGTACGATAAAGTCAAAAACAAATATTTTGAATTGAAAGAGAATTCCAAATATCTTATCCAGGTTAATTTTGCTAATGAAAAAAATTTATTATTTGGAGATTCAATACTTCCCTTTCTAAAATTTTATATGTTTTTTTTTCATTTTTCAGTATCTCTATTTAGGTCATACACTCTATGAGCATCAAGCCAACATCCGGCATCATTTTGCTTTTCACAAAAACTCGGAATGGTTTCCATTTCCTTGGCAACGTGCTGGGATTGTCTTTTCAAGAGCTTTAATTGTGTAAGTAATAACACAGAGGCGAACGAAAATTTATTATTAAGAGGTGTGTTCAAAAAGTATCACGAATTTTGAGCTTTCGCGGGTTTAGTTTGAAGGGAACAAAATAGATATTCATGAATGAATAAATAATTTTTGAAAAAACACAAAACTCGCGATATTTTTTTAACATACCTCGTTTATAAGAAAAATATAAAATATATTGAAAAATTCAATAAAATCAAATGAATTAAACGAAATGAAACGAAACAAAATTAAACTGAATAAACTAAATTCAATGGAATAAACATAAATAAAATATATTAAATTAAAAATAAATTAAATAAATAAAAAAAAAAAATAAAAAAATACAATAATTTTAAGTAAATTAAATGAAAAGATTAATACAAACTCAAATTAAATAAAAGTAAAATGAAAACAAAAATAAAATAAAACAAAATTAAATTAAATGTAATAAAAAATAAATTTTATAAAATAAAATAAAAGCAAAATTAAATAAAATTAAATAAATTACAAAATAAGATTAAATGTAATAAAAAATAAATTTTATAAAATAAAATAAAAGCAAAATTAAATAAAATTAAATAAATTACAAAATAAGATTAAATGTAATAAAAAATAAATTTTATAAAATAAAATAAAAGCAAAATTAAATAAAATTAAATAAATTACAAAATAAGATTAAATGTAATAAAAAATAAATTAAATAAATAAACAAAATACAATCACTTAAACTAAATCTTAATCAAAAACAATAATATAAAACGAAATTAAATTAAATTAAATAAAACAAAATAAACTAAATTAAATTAATCACAAAATAAAATTAAATTAAATAAAGTAAATATTAAAAATAAAAATATAATTAAAGTTTAACACGAAAAGTTTGAAAAACGCATAAAAATAAATAAAAATCTAAAATATTGATTAATTATTCAAACTACACTTTAAATATTATAAAAAATAAAATTGAATAAAACAAAATAAAACAAATAATATGAAATGAAAATAAATAGGAGGAAGTTAAATCAAGTTAATTAGCAAAAAATATAATAAAAATTAATTTAAAATATAAAACAAAATAAAATAGGATATAAGAATACAAATTAGAAAAAATAAAATAAAATAAGAAATAAATGAAATAACAAAATAAAAAAATTGAAATATTGATGAGTGCTTAAGTTCGTGCCCGACTCCGCTGGATGCCGTTCGAATCGTTTGAGAGTGGCGCTCGTGAAAGAAATATATACATATTATATATCGTTGGAAAGGTGACAGTCCGAACTGTAAATCAAGCATAAAATAACTTCATTTTGATTTGAGTTGCTTAGTGAAAAGACGCATGGAAGATGGACAACGAAAAAGATCATATGCGTCATATTATGTTATACGAATTCCGCAAAGGAAAAACAGTAGGCGCTGCAACTAAAGATATTCGCGAAGTTTATTTGGACCGTGCTCCAGCACTCCGCACAGTAAAGAAATGGTTCGCGAAATTTCGTTCTGGAGATTTTAACCTCGAAGATCAACCTCGCAGTGGACGGCCTTCTGAGCTTGATGACGATGTTCTAAGGACTTTAGTTGCGAATAACTCACGTATTTCGACGGAAGAGGTTGCCAGTGAATTGAACGTCAACAAATCAACTGCGTTTCGTCGTTTAAAAAAGGTTGGGTACACTTTGAAGCTCGATACATGGGTGCCACATCAGTTGAGTGAAAAAAACAAAGTGGACCGTATGTCAACAGCAATTTCTTTGCTTCGACGGATCAAAAACGAACCTTTTTTGGATCGGCTCGTGACTGGTGATGAAAAATGGATCCTGTACAACAATGTTCAACGCAAAAGAACATGGAAACAGGCACACGAAGGGGCGGAACCGATGTCGAAAGGTGGATTGCATCCGATGAAGGTACTGCTGTGCATTTGGTGGGATATCCGAGGCGTGATCTATTTTGAGCTCTTGCCAGCTGGAGAAACGTTCACTGCCAACAAGTATTGTCAGCAATTGGTCGAATTGAAGAAAGCAATTGATGAAAAACGTCCGATTTTGGCCAATCATGCCGCATCCCCCATATTCACCCGACATTCCACCTTCTGATTATCATTTGTTTCGATCCCTGCAGAACAATTTGAATGGAAAAAAATTTTAAAATGTGGAAGACGTCAAAAACCACCTTGACACCTTTTTCAACGTGAAACCGCGCGATTTCTATGAATCAGGAATCCGTAAATTGGTTGAACGTTGGGAGTGGATTGCCGAACGTGATGGCGAATACATAATTGATTAATAAAAGCGCTTTCTTCAAAAAATTTCAATATTAGTTTGCACTTGAAATCGAGCACGAACTTATGCACTCCTCCATAATATGAAAATAGTAAATTAAATCAACTCAAATGAAATGAAGCAAAATAAAATATATTATAGAGCTGAGTAAAAAAATTATATAAAAAAAGGACACTGACTTAAATTAAATAAAAAAATAATCAATAAAATATTTCAGAAAAAAATAAAATAAATTATAACATAACAAATCAAAACAAAATAGTATGAAATGACATTAAATGGAAATAAGTTAAATTAAAAGCATTGGAAATTTTATAATTATATAAAAATTCAATTATAAAGTATAATCAAATAAAGTGAAACAAAATAAATTGTAATAAAAAATTCAAATTAAGTAAAATAATTTAAACTAAATAAAAATTTAATAAATCAATGTACAAAAAAATGAAATAAAAAGTTTAAATTCAATTAAATAAAACATAAAATAAAATGTAAATAAAATAAAACCAATAAATAAAATTAAAACAAAATGAAATTGAATAAAATAAATTCAATGGAATAAATATTTTAATTTGCTTTAAATAAAAAGTGTATAAAATAAATAAATAAAACAATAATAATAATTTTAACTAAATTAAAATAAAATAATATAAAACTAAATAAATCAAAATAAAATTGAAAGCAAAATAAAAAATGAAGAGCATATAGAAAAATAAAGTATAAGGAAATAAAATTGAATAAATTAAAAAATAATATTAAATTAAATAAAAAATAAAAAACACATAAAAATAAAATAAAAATCGAAGACATTGATTAATAAGTCTGAGAAAACAAATGATTTGAAAAGTGCATCTTAAAAAGATTTTTTCAAAAACATCTGCAGATATTTTGAAGTTTTATTTAATTTTATTTTTTGCTAATATAAGTATGTATGTAAATATATTAAGTAATAAACAACGAATGTACTCTTATCATTTCATTCCACTTATCAGCAAGGTCATGGAGGTGATAAAATCTAAGAACATTTATAGTTCTCCATTTATCATAGATATGGAACACGAATTGGCGATGTTCATTTATAATGAGGTAAAATCAAAAGTAACTGAAAACATGAATGCAGATGAAGTGCCCACAGATGCCAAAATATCGAACTCTGTACAAAAGGTGTTAATGCACAAAGCAAATTATATTTGCTCGCAACCAAATGAAAATATCCTGGGTAGCGCGGTGGAAGAGAAGTGCGCAATGTATGCCGGTCCTATGGACACGAGTCATTGTGTAAGTAAAAGCAATGAATTTACATTTTTATATCCTTTTTTCAAAATTTTTGTTAGTTATAACTAACAGTAAGCGTAAATTTTACATATAGTTATTGTGGAATTTGAAATATTATTGTTAAAATAAATACATTAAATATTCAAATATCATACAGTCCTCATGTTGAACCCATACAAGCGACGGTATTGTATTGATTGAATTGAGTTGTTGTGGTTGCCAGACTACATCTCTGGAGACAAGTGCACTTAGGCCATTGCACCTAAGAATAATCCCTCTGCTTCCTCAACTTTCAAGCCATTTAAGGAGATTTGCGAAAAGATATTCCCGGCGCGTAACAGTAGTGTTCTACTGACTCCTCCTCTTCTATTTCCCCATAGCTACCATATAAAATAACACATTTTCACATCGTAAGTCCCTTTAAACAGTGCCCTGTGAATATATCCTTTGGAATTTTAAACGAGAGAGATTTTGTTATTTTCTCGATGAAAGATCAGATCAGTCTAGTTTCATGCCATTTTTCGTGCCAACATTTATTAGTTTTCCCGAGGTACTTTGCTAAAACGAGAGGTTTGCTGTAGTTAGTAGGTTTTCCGCTCTTGTCAGTATGTCGACGCATAATTGTCTGGAACATGATTTAATCCGGTGACTTAAACTAAAGTACAGGACCCAATCAGCCTCTATAAAAAGAGCTAGCTTTGAAAGAAGTTAACATTTTATAAATTCTTTCTCATCATAACTTTTAACTTCGAATTGCTCCCTAACCTCTAAATGTTAACCACAATTTTTGAACTTCTTGTAGAATACTTTTGGACCGCAAAACATTTTCTTTGCCGTTAAAACCTGTAAGCGCTTCCACCTTGAGCGAATACCGATTATTAAGAGTACTTGGGGCTCAATTGCGATGCATATTCGTTACTACAGCGATGTGGCAGGTTAGTCCAAGGCGTAATATCAGCAAAAATAAAAAATAAATTTTCTAATTCCAATTCCATAAACCTCATAGATGCACAAATTCCCACAATCGCGACCGGTGTGCCAAACACCGAGTTCGGTCATTGCGATAAGACCTTGACAATATTGAAAAAAGCTTTAAAAGAGATCGATGAATTAAATATGCAATTGGAAAATCTAGTGCAGAAGCGAGATGAACAGATATATTGGCTCGTTTTGGCAGACGATGACACTCTGTTAAGGTTCGTAACATCAAATATTATCATTATACTTCGTTTCTATCCATCCAATAAATTTACTTTAGTATTCCACGCCTTTCTACGCTGCTCGGCTGTTTCAACCACACGAACGATATTTATCTGGGCGAACGTTATGGTTTCCATCATAACGTTAATAGCGGTTTTAATTACATAACCAGTGGTGGTGGTGTGGCAATGAGTTTATCAGCTCTACGCAAGTTGATCGCACATTGTCACTGCACCCACTCACAGGATGCCGATGACATGTTGCTGGGCATGTGTTTTAATAACCTGGAAGTGCCGATCATACACTCGGCACAATTTCATCAGGTAATGAATTGAAAACTAGAATTTAAACTCTGTCCACAAGCATCCTTAATCTCTGAGTTTTTTTTTAGCTCCGCCCGCAGGACTACCCTGTTGAGCTGCTGGCACTGGATCATCCCATCTCATTTCATAAATTCTACGACCTGGAGCCATTATCAACGTATGAGCAATATTTTGCCGAAGCTGATCGGCAGATGCAGCAGACTTTGAATGGGAATATTTGAAAAAATGTAGCTTCTATTAACTGATTTATAATAATATAAATTATGATATTGATGAAAGAAATTTAAACGTTTTTACAGATATAACTAATTATTAGGTAAATAGGAGTGGGGGTATTACTACACATGTTCAGATAAACGACGATATAGCCTTAATCATTCAGTTTTCTAGATATTGTCCTATCAAATCCTTTCAGGACTTCTACTACTTTAGAGGTGCTCGCTCTCTTTCCAGGGAGTATATTACGGATGAAAAGGATCATATTGCGGTTTGATATATTTCGAGAGATACTCTAGATAGACAGCTCATAGTTGTGGGAGCTTCGCTCTGATATATCTATCCTATCTATCTATCCTATCCTTTGACTATTCATTTCAGAGTACTACCCAAAACTATGCATGCCTCACTACTAACTTTTGTCTCCTTAAAAAGTAAAGCAGTTCTTTCTTATTTGAATTGCCGCAGGGTCTACATCTGGTCGGAATTCGGTAATTTCCTTACGTCAGCTTAAAAGGTACATACCAGTGACCAGCGTCGTTTCGGAGGTGTACTAATAGTATGTAAATCACACCGATGAGATTCTCCTTATTCTAATCGCTAGAAGAAGACTGAAGAGACTGAACCTTCAGTTTCAATTAATGTACAATTGCACTATTACAATCAAACTATTCCCTAACCAGGCGAGATGAAAAATTAACTTTTTCGGAAACCATGTCTTCGTCAGTAGAGTGCAATCTTACTTGACACTTTGCACATAAATACACGAATGAAATCATTCGGGTCTTCTTCGATACTCTGCTTCACAGCAGAAATAGCCACTTATAACTACAGGGGTTTTGTCCTAAGCAAGAGTCACATACCTAAAGGATGCCTCCACCAGAACTGTGCCATTATACATAATATATATATCAATAACTGTATATATAAATATCGCTTTCAGTAACTAGAACTAGAATATTTATTGTGTGCCATTTCGTATACATATCGAGATTTACAATTCATTCATTCCTGGTATCGTCATTTAAGCTTTCGTAAAAGCATTTCGGATACATCCAGCATATTCTGGATAGTCGCAAAGACCTCTTAATGGATTGAAATGCAGATTGCCACAACTGACCTTCACAGCTTCGCGATTGCGGCAAATATAGTAATCGTTGCAATTTCTCAATGAAGGTAACAAGAATCCGTTGACTTTATCCAAACAAGCTGTCTCTATGTGTTTATCCCGATTTACAGTTACTGATTCTGATGATGTCTGTTCCTTCGATAAGCTTGGAATTTGTTGGCTATTGGCATTGATGGCTGCAGAGCTTGGGCATGGTGGAGTTACCGTGGTACATGGTGGTTTAGTTGTTGCCGTACAAGCCGTTGTTGTTGTTGTTGGGACAGTGGTTGTCGTTGTTGAGCACGTGGCTGTTGTTGTTGTTGTGGTGACAGTTGTGGTTGTGGTTGGACGAGTTGTTGTGGCTGTTGTTGTCGGGACAGTAGTCGTCGTTGTTGAGCACGTGGTTGTTGTTGTTGGAACAGTGGTGGTTGTTGTTGGAACAGTGGTTGTTGTGGTTGGACGAGTTGTTGTGGTTGTTGAAACAGTGGTTGTGGACGTTGTTGTCGGGACAATAGTCGTCGTTGTTGAGCACGTGGTTGTTGTTGCTGGAACAGTGGTGGTTGTTGTTGGCACAGTGGTTGTTGTTGTTGGAACAGTGGTTGTTGTGGTTAAACGAGTTGTTGTGGTTGGACGAGCTGTTGTGGTTGTTGTTGTCGGGACAGTGGTCGTCGTTGTTGAGCACGTGGCTGTTGTTGTTGGAACAGTGGTTGTTGTTGGAACAGTAGTTGTGGTTGGACGTGTTGTTTTGGTTGTTGTCGGAACAGTGGTTGTTGTTGTCGGGACAGTGGTCGTCGTTGTTGAGCACGTGGTTGTTGTTGTTGGAACAGTGGTTGTTGTTGTTGGAACAGTGGTTGTTGTTGTCGGAACAGTGGTTGTTATTGGAACAGTAGTTGTGGTTGGACGTGTTGTTTTGGTTGTTGTTGTCGGAACAGTAGTTGTTGTGGTGGTTGTTGTTGTAGGGACAGTGGTCGTCGTTGTTGAGCACGTGGTTGTTGTTGTCGGAACAGTGGTTGTTGTTGCCGCAACAGTGGTTGTTGTGGTTGGACGAGTTGTTGTGGTCGTTGTTGTCGGGACAGTAGTCGTCGTTGTTGAACACGTGGTTGTTGTTGTTGGAACAGTGGTACTTGTTGTCGCAACAGTGGTTGTTGTTGTCGGAACAGTGGTTGTTGTGGTCGGAACTGCGGTTGTTGTTGTTGGAACAGTGGTTGTTGTTGTAGGGACAGTGGTCGTCGATGTTGAGCACGTTGTTGTTGTTGTTGGGTTAGTGGTTGTTGTTGTCGGAACAGTGGTTGTTGTGGTCGGTACTGCGGTTGTTGTTGTTGGAACAGTGGTTGTTGTGGTTGGAAGAGTTGCTGTGGTGGTTGTTGTCGGAACAGTGGTCGTCGTTGTTGAGCACGTGGTCGTTGTGGCTGGAACAGTGGTGGTTGTTGTTGGAACAGTGGTGGTTGTTGTTGGAACAGTGGTTGTTGTGGTTGGACGAGTTGTTGTGGTTGTTGTTGTTGGGACAGTGGTCGTCGTTGTTGAGCATGTGGTCGTTGTTGTTGGAACAGTGGGGGTTGTTGTTGGAACAGTGGTGGTTGTTGTTGGAACAGTTGTGGTTGTTGTTGTAACAGTGGTTGTTGTAGTTGGACGAGTTGTTGCGGATGTTGTTGTTGGGACAGTGGTCGTCGTTGTTGAGCACGTGGTCGTTGTGGTTGGAACAGTGGTGGTTGTTGTTGGAACAGTGGTTGTTGTTGTTGTTGGAACAGTGGTTGTTGTAGTTGGACGAGTTGTTGCGGATGTTGTTCTTGAGACAGTTGTTGAGCACGTCGTTGTAGTTGTTGGGGTTGTTGTGATAGTTGTTAAAGTTGTTGTTGAACAAGTTGTAGTTGTAGGTAGAAGCGTTGTCGCTGTGCATGGAGGAGCTGGCGTCGTCTCACATGCAGTTGACGCCACAGCAGCAGCTTTGGTTATAGCCAAAATGGCTACAAACACACTAAAGAATGCTGTCCGTGCAGAAGAGAAGTCCATTAAATGGAAATATTAATGAAATATAAATAAACATTTGCATACATTCATATGCTTATATGTACATATGTATATACTCACCTAAAGCTTTCACCATATTGAATGGAAATTATTAGCGATTGTCCACAGCAATGCAATTAATAGTGTTCGGAAAGGTGTTGGCCTCAACACTATGCAGTTATTTGCCGAAAACTTCAACTTTTATATTATTCCGAGCAGAGAGATCACATCAATGTGGAAGGGTTTGAACATTTACGACGAGTACGAGTACATATAAAAAAAAAAAGTAAACATATGAACATGTGTACACGTATTCGAGTTATTTGAAATTTCCATTTAACAAATGTGTGGAGGAACAAGACGTTTTCTGATATTTGCTTGTTCACAAATAACTTTTCGTCTCGCTGTTAATTAATTCGCATGTACATACATACATTTAAATACAAATCATCATGTATGTACGTGTGATAATTTGCGAAAGTGATTCTGCGGAAAGCAGCTGGTAAGATTACCATCGAGACTGATAAGTTGGTTGGAGATAAAAGTGAAAACATATAAAACTGCAAATATCTATTTATAGAAAAATATATGTATGTATGATATTTACACTTCCATTAATGGCTGTAATCTTATGCACACAACCCAGAACAGAACGACAAACTGGCTTAATTTTCACGAAGAGGAGGTGGACAAAAGAGGTATTTTTGGCAAACAGACGAGAAACTCTGCATCCATCCCCACATCCGTTGAGACTAATCGAATTTGCCGGTGTTCAAAATATGGTTTTATGTAGTACCAGATTTCCGTACAAGAAAATCCATCAGGCTGCATAACTGTTTTCACATTTAAAATCATTCTATATGTGCTTAATAGCAGTGAAAATGCAGCGTATGTAGATGGCGAACCTAAAATCGATGACGATGATGGAAAAGCCGTTCCAATACCCGACTATGATAAGGTTCAAACAGTAATTGTCCGGCACCTCGCTGTCGGATATAAGATGTTATCAATGTTATATTGTGTGAAAGATTAATGCCTACCGTCCACAAACTGTTTGAACCTCATTAATGTGGTTTTAGACCTAGTAAATCTACCGCTCACCTTCCGATCAGCATCTCGGAAAAGAGCCTTAAGAAAAGAATCGTTGTGCATCACTCTTTCATCGATTTTAAACAGCTGTGTAAATTGACGCTGGACTATATCAGAAGCGCAGTCGGAAGTGTCAGACTCTTTCTTAATTTCATGCTAGAGAAAATAATAAAAGCGACTGAGCTGAATAGACAAGTCACAATCTTTTACAAGAGTGTATAATTGCACAATTGCTGGCATACGCCGACGACATTCATTTCAAAGACCGTTACAAATGCGCCGTTAGTTCTGCTGTCTGCAGACATGCTAGAGAAGCCCATCGAAGTAGCCTGGTAGTGAACGAAATGCCTCCAGCCATCAAACAACCAGTCAACGCATTCTTAAAATATTTAGACTGAGTGGGCAGTTGAAAAGTAAAGTTCTCTCTCGGCGAACAAAAACTAAACTACACAAACCGTTCATCGTCCCGTCAGCGTTGATATATGGTGTACAAGCATGGATGATGACAACAACAGATGAGTCGGCGCTGGAAATTTACGAGAGAATGTTTTTATTATACCAAAGATGCATGGTTCTCTGCTCTATCGCAGCCGATGGAGCAGTGAGCGACGACCTTGACATAGTTTAGCGAATCAAAAGACGTCGCTGGAGGTGGAGAAACACCTGGCTTTACTTGGTATTTCCAATTGGCGCCAAACAGTGAAAAGAAGGAACTAATGGCGTGCTGTTGTTAACTCGGCTTTAACCGAGTAAGTGAGCACATTTCCTATGACAGCTGTAAAAGTCTTACTACATCTTTCACCATTATAAAGAAAACCATTTTAACCACGTAAAGAATAAATAGTATTCAGTAGGACAGAAGATAAAATCAAAGAAAGCATCCTACTGGCAATGTCTAACAGAGACGGTGCAGCTCAAAAGAAAAAGCTTCCATTAGAAATAGTATCTTCAAGTCGATCAGAGATGGATAAAATTATTAAAGAACATACACAGGTTTGGTACATGAAGGGCTCCAAAACAAAAGAAGGTATAGCAGCAGGAGCCACAGGGCCTAGATACAAGGACAATATCCGAGCGTCTGCAAAGCAAAAATACATATCAGTAATATTTAGTAATCCAATATGGTGTGGGAATGTGCCATGAACCTCAACCGGTTAGATGAACTCAATATGATTTAACTGTTATGGGTTCAGAGGCACAGAGAACGGCGGCAAAATTCATGCCAATGGGACCTCAGCCCTTCTTTCCCATCGGACAGCTTACAATTAAGGAAGAGTAGAGATTAGGAGAGAAGTATTGGCATAAAGTAGTTAGCATAAAACAGACTAGAGAACTTCTGGGTGGCGTCAACCAAGGCATCAGCTTAGTCTATCACTGTCGGTATTGCAACATGAAGCCAAAAACATCAATGCATCTGATAAAGGAATATTAAGCAGTAGTGAGAAGAAGGCAAAAACACATTGGAATCTTACATCCTGAGTATTATATCCGTGAGCATCTATATCTTATAAATTTCCAAAAAAAAAGCATTTAGGCCAAACAAAGAGTTATAACAAACCTTTTCTGTCATCGCTGTCAAAAGAAAAAGACTTGATATGGCCGCCACATCAACGCATCTTAACTGCTTGATTATTTGTAACAACAATTCCTGCCTTTTGAAGAAGCGCGATGTGCCTCTACAGAGACCAACCACTTGACCGTTGTGAGCTCTTTTCCCCACAGTGATTTGGTACACAAAAATCCATTGGCGTTGTGCCAGCTGCTGGTAAGAAGAGGTTCTCGGTCTTGACACAGGCTGCACTCCGGTCGTGCGTCTGCCGTGCCTCTGCCGTGCTTGAATGGCCGCTGCCGTAAAAAAATTTTGAGAAAACTTAAAACACTGAATCTAACGATTAAAATGAATTTGGACACTAAAAGTCATCGAAATCGAATTTTGCATTTGCAAGTTCTTTCTGATGCACTTTTCAAAGATATAAAGGCTTCAGCATAGCATCAAGACAGCAACTCCTTTATGTTTTTGTATCATGTAGTACATATATGTAATAATATTTATATTAAGTGCTCGCGTGCGTGCAAAAACAAACACATGTAGATATGTATCTACTAGTAGTTACAAAAGAAATATCAATATTGGACAACTTTTCAAACTACGATACTACTGATAATGGACGATTATAGTAACTTACATACATACTCGAATATACATACTTTTTTGCTTTACATTCTCCCTCAGAACCAAGCAATTTATGTACATATTGATGAGTGCATAAGTTCGTGCCCGATTTCAAGTGCAAACTAGAATTGAAATTTTTTGAAGAAAGCGCTTTTATTAATCAATTATGTATTCGCCATCATGTTCGGCAATCCACTCCCAACGTTCAACCAATTTACGGTTGCCTGATTCATAGAAATCGCGCGGTTTCTCGTTGAAAAAGGTGTCAAGGTGGTTTTTGACGTCTTCCACATATTTAAATTTTTTTTCCATTCAAATTGTTCTGCAGCGATCGAAACAAATGATAATCAGAAGGTGCAATGCCAGGTAAATATGGGAGATGCGGCATGATTTCCCAATTCATCTCCTTCAGTTTGGCCAGGGTCGATTTTGCAACATGTGGCCTGGCGTTGTCATGATGGAAAAGAACTCCTTTGCGATTGGCCAAAATCGGACGTTTTTCATCAATTGCTTTCTTCAATTCGACCAATTGCTGATAATACTTGTTGGCAGTGATCGTTTCTCCAGCTGGCAAGAGCTCAAAATAGATCACCACCAAATGCACAGCAGTATCTTCATCAGATGCAATCCTTTCGACATCGGTTTCGCCCCTTCGTGTGCCAGTTTCCATGTTCTTTTGCGTTGAACATTGTTGTACAGGATCCATTTTTCATCACCAGTCACGAGCCGATCCAAAAAAAGGTTCGTTTTTATCCGCCGAAGCAAAGAAATTGCTGTTGACGTACGGTCCACTTTGTTTTTTTCACTCAACTGATGTGGCACCCATGTATCGAGCTTCAAAGTGTACCCAACCTTTTTTAAACGACGAAACGCAGTTGATTTGTTGACGTTCAATTCACTGGCAACCTCTTCCGTCGAAATACGTGAGTTATTCGCAACTAAAGTCCTTAGAACATCGTCATCAAGCTCAGAAGGCCGTCCACTGCGAGGTTGATCTTCGAGGTTAAAATCTCCAGAACGAAATTTCGCGAACCATTTCTTTACTGTGCGGAGTGCTGGAGCACGGTCCAAATAAACTTCGCGAATATCTTTAGTTGCAGCGCCTACTGTTTTTCCTTTGCGGAATTCGTATAACATAATATGACGCATATGATCTTTTTCGTTGTCCATCTTCCATGCGTCTTTTCACTAAGCAACTCAAATCAAAATGAAGTTATTTTATGCTTGATTTACAGTTCGGACTGTCACCTTTCCAACGATATATAATATGTATATATTTCTTTCACGAGCGCCACTCTCAAACGGTTCGAACGGCATCCAGCGGAATCGGGCACGAACTTATGCACTCATACATAGTTACATACAGCCGATATAAAAAAAATAGCTACAGCCACGACCAGTTAACTGTATCTGTAATCTTTTGCACTCAACCGACAAAAGAAAGTATTGTAATTATTCATCCTCTTGCTACTGGATTGTTTTGCGTTGTTTCGCTTAAGGTCGTACGAGTATCGGTGGAAAAGTGTGTCTCCACAAAGACCTGCCTGCTGCCTTCTTTTGATTGAGAGATCATAAACAAATTTTCTTTCATTGGTGTCGACCCTCATCGTCCACTGTCTCGCTATTTGGCCCAATCTGTCTACAGATGTAGCACCTGATTTTATTCCTGCTATCGAAGCTAGCTTTATAGTCATTGAAAAATTGCTGTAAGCTGCTCTCCTTGTTTGGAAAAGTTTCCTAGATTTGGAGCGTGGTGATTATCCAGTAAGAGGTTAGATCGTTCTAAAGCCATCCGAGATAGTTAGTTTGTTAGCTAAACAGTTTGCTCGATTACG